GTTGAGCCTGCCTTAGTCTAGCCTAGCTGCTGACACTGTCAGGGCCCAGCCCTGATAGCTGCAAACGCCACCGCCCGGCACTTCTCCGCTGCGGGCAAGCGAGCACCAAGGGGGACAAGCTGCCTGGGGGAGCGCTGGCTTGGCATGTGAACATGTTATGAAACCCAGATCGCAGCCTGGACACACGGTGGCGGCGGCGCGGCACTGGAGCCTGGCAGTGAGGAATGGCTCTCAGCCATGATAAAAGGGAATGCACTTACCCATGATGTTTCTTCTTAGACTGCTAAAGAAAAAAGAGGGAGCCAATCACAGGTCACAGTGGCATTTATGCCATCGCAGCAGACCTGTTTTGGGGACAGCCAAGTGCAGGGCACAGGGTGAGAAAGAATCTGTTCAGGACTGCGCAAGCATGAGGGGTGGACCCAATAGCGACAGCTCTTAGAGGGCGAAGCCTATATGAAATAGAACTGTGTAATACCACATACCGTACTACCGTGAAACTGTGTTTCTGAGACTGTTATCACACCGTGAAAATATCATACAGTTGCAACACTACTTCTGACCCACAGGAATGTGATACAGTGAATTATAAGTGATAAAATCTATCTTAACTTAGCCTCAAGCAAAAATAACGAGCTACTGACATACTCTCAAATGTTATGAGACAATATGAAACACTTGCCGCTGCTGGAGTATTAACAGCAAAGCACCGATATATGACAGGGAAGGCTAGGCTTCGCTCACTGTTGAATTGAGTGTTGACAGTCTGCTTCTGAGTTAACTACTATTGTTAGATTAAGGCTACATTTTGGATTATCTGAGATAATAAAGAGATAAAACATACTGTTTAGCGTTATGAGATGGCATAGGACCTGCAGCAGACTTGTAGAGTCGTGTGGCGTTGTTGGAATGTAACATTAACAGTTAGGTTTGGCTGCTGCTAATACAGCAAGGCAGTCTCTCGGTTCTCTGGTAGGTCACTAGATTACATTTTGGATCATGTGAAAAAATAAAAAGATACATTATACACAGTAGTGGAAATGCTAGATTTGGCTCACTAATGCTACAGTATTAGTAGTTCAACTGCATGCAAACAGCCTGCTGCTAATAATCCAGACTGTAAATACATCTGCACATTTTACTTATATGTCTTTTATACAATATTGCTATGTAATCGTTGAATGAGGCTCAAACATAAACTGCTACATCCCTTCAGTTCTCACTCCTGCATCTCATCCTGAAACAGCAAGTTCACCAATCTTTGTAGGGAAGCAGCGGTGAGGTGAGTGGGTGGCAACTTTTGTTGAGGAAGAACTGTTAAACTATACAGTACATTGTTTATAGCTGAGTATTTTTATATGCAAATATAAATATTAAAATGTCTGTGGAGTGGAACTTTAACAAACAGCTCCGAAAATATACATAAAATATTAGCTGACTGACTAACCAAACTCTTGGAAACTTGCAGGGAGCAAAACTATTATTCCCACCATTGCAGTCTAGAATTAACATGTGTGTGCACATCTAGGACCTCGTGAATTTTGATATCATTGGTTTGATGTTAAGAGATATTGCTGCTGACTTGCTGCTCGTTTCACTCCAGACAACCATATAACTTTTAATGGGAGAATGAAATAGCCTACATGATACAAGTCTGAAGGAGAGGGAGCGCAGCTCTGGCTGGGTGCCATTTAGACATCAGGAGGCAGAGCTCGGTTCCAGCGGGCTCTGGCCAATTTAGCCCATGCTCACACCAAAACTGTGCAATTAATGAAAGTTTGCGAAATAATGTGACCAAATGAACATGTTTACTTATTTTCTTTTACTTATTTATTTGATGTCATTGCTATTTCGCTATTTGCAGCGGTAACACTGCTGTGAGATTAATATGGGATTATCTTATTTATCTTATTTTACATCTCCATTGTCAGCTATTTGTGCCAGAAAAATGAAACAGCACTGAAACTAGAGCAACATCATTATCCCACTCACAATTGATTTGTGGGATTTGTGGAACAAAAAGGTTTTCAGGAGAGATGGAGATCAGAGGACTTGTGCACTTGGGCACTGGCTGCGGTGCTGTGTGTATACCTTTGTAGTCTTGTCCTGTGGTGCTGATGTGCATCCGCTTCTGACACTCTCCACAGCTCATCAGGAAACGAGTCACCGCCTCTCTGGGTAGGAAGGCATACGTCTCTGCAATCTGAGAGAGAGAGATGCCAACCATGAGGGGGGGGTCTACCTGTCCTCTCATTTTGTAAGAACAGTGATGTCGAAATTCCCTATAATGTGGGATCTGAAATGTGCAGACAAAGCTGCACACTTTATTTGAGCATTTATTATCATGGCTGCAAAAAGCAATTCTTTTCATTATACATTAATTCAATTTATTGGTTAAACAGCCCATGACATGCTTTTCCTTGTTTTTCGACTTCTCTACAATGTTAAAACAGTGAATTATCATCTTAGATGGCACCTAAAGCTCAAAAAATGAGGTGTACGTATGTTCTAGTTCATCTATGTAGAAGCAACTCCATTTATACATGTTTCGCAAACTCTCACTTGTGACACTTTCTATCAAAGTAAAGTATTACATGATAGTCTAAGGATGTTCTTGAATGGTCATAATCTCCAGGCAGTTGCGTGTTCATGTGAGCTTGCCTGACATCCACGGTGCCGTTGTAAAAGCTGAATTTTTTAATTGCGTGACTTTGTGGATCTATTTTTCCTCCTGCTGCTGCACTTTAACCAGAGGATGTGGAGAAAAATACAGGGCCTGAGGTTACTGCATGTTGGGAATGTTCCTGTACAAGGACTCACTGTTTTACCTGAGTGTGTCTAACCTACAAGCAGCTGGTCAGCAAATCCCCCTGCGGGGCTGAATGATCAGCTCATCAACGCTGGATTCCCCCGGAGCACAGTAGCTGTTTGTTTTGACTATGTGAGGCCAGTTCGTCTGCCACATGTGATGTGTTGCTAGTTAAAGAGCGGATTATTATCAGTGCTACACTACCTGTTGGAATTAATTTCACAACTTTGGGACTGTATGTGGTCATGTGGGGGAAGACTCAGAGACCACCTGTTGGATTTACTGACCTTGGAGCTATGTGAAAGGGAACGATGTTTCCACTGCTTGGTGGGACTTAACGGTAAGTTAAAAAAAAAAAGTTACATGTTTGTTAATGAGCTCTTTCTGTAACATTAGAGAGAAGGCTGGAGAAATTACTATGTCTGCATTATGCCAGTTAAAATATGGGGTTTCTCAATTACCCTCTTTGCTTAGAGTCTTACACATCTCTTTTCATTGGTACATATACTGTTGTTTACCTATCTATGGAGGAGAAATTCATATTAACTAATGTTATGGTTTGTTGTGCTGTTCACTCTCATATTGTGACTCGAACATGTCAAGTAGGATTTAAGTTATTGTCATTGTAAAAAACCTGGCTTATTTGTCACTGTTTATTATTTATGTGTTGTCCTGGCTTCCTGACCGGTCTTGTGTCTTAAAGTGTTCCCCCATCAAAATGGGTTTCCCCTGGGTTTTATGTAGCGCACCCCTCGGTGGTTGTAGTTAGGATAATATTAGGATTCATCTTGATTGGGGAAACAGATTTCTACACAGCACTGCCAACAGGAGTTGTATGCGTTCATGAACTATCCTCTCGTTTTTAGGAAAAGGCTCTCGAATTTTATCATTCTGAAATAATTACAGAATATTTGGAGTTATGAGGGGTGCTAAAATAATCTAGAGCTATCCAAGATTAAATATTAAATGGCTGAAAATGAGCTAAATGAGTATACCATGGGCACTTTAAACTATAAAAATATTAAAATAATGAATAGGGTGTACATTAAATAGCTTGTATACACAGGTGATTAAAATGACATTCAGTTGAGAGCAGAGTTAGTAAAAAGAAATCAAACAGTATGATTGTGAATTACACTACTCATATGTCAAATACACACATCACAAAGTAGAACATCACTTCTCTGTTTTAATTGCATGATGACAATTTATTTGGGAAATTGCAAGGCTCTTTTTCTTTTCTTTTCCTGACTTTCACAGCCATGAAGACCAGGGGTCAGCACACGAGTTTTCAGCTGAGAAAAGAGAATGAGTCACTTGTCTAAACATGTGATCTGTGCTGTCAAAGTACTGTAAAAAAAAAAAAAAACACCAACAAGGACTGTTTACAGCTGATTGCTGGTCAGTAAACATTTTCTGTTATAAAACTCCTTAATGACTTGAGTCGGTTACCTGCTTCAAGCAGCCTGTCTAACAATGAGAACGATTTCTCTCTGTGCTGCTGAGAATACGAATTCTATAAATGTGAGTTTGAATGTGGATATGCACACATGTAAATCAAACATTTATTATGAAAGAGAAGCACAAAGACACAGAAGACAGAAAAGGGGGGTTGAGTATAGCCAGCATGTGTGGATGGGGGTTGTGTGTGACAGTGAGTGTGAGCAAGTGTGAGTGTGTGTGTGTGTAGGAAGGTGACAGTACAGTAGTACAGTAAAGGCAAAATACCTTCACGGCCGTTGGTGGCAGTGAGACCTGAAGATATACGGCATTGTAAACTAGAACCTTTTTTTTATCTACAGTACACTGTATACACTATAGGCAGAAAGACACAGAGGACTATATGACAAACCACAACATATCTGTAAGATAAAGAAGAAGGAAGGAAATGTAAGTTTAAAAAAAGGAGCACAGAGATAACAGCTAAAAAAAAAATCTCACAGCTCATGGGTAGTAATGCTCAAAGGTTCTTCCCTGTACTAAGAGCTAAATCTGTGGAAGCTGCACTTTACATATTTCTCCAAAAGAGGGCAGCAGAGCAGAGCAGCCCTGCACAACATCTACTAAACAACATGATCAGATACTTGCCACCAGCAGGTAAAAACTGAATGGATGTGTCTGTCAGTTAATTTCTGATCTGAAACTGAAACCAGACCAGTGTGACAAAGACTGTTTGCTGGAGACAGTAAAAGAGGAATGAAGCCCAAAAGAAGAGGAAGAGAGAAAAAAGAGACAAAGAAAGACTACAGTGTGTAGTGTGGTGTGTGTGTGAGTGTGTGTGTGAGAGAGAGAGAGAGAGAGAGAGAAAGAGAGAGTCAGGCAACAGACAACACAAGTTATGAAAGATAATACACTCTGTGGGGTTGCCTGAGACAGAGAAGGTACATGGGCAACAAGAAGCAGATGGGGGAAGTATATCTCACACAAGTCATTGTGAGAGTAGCCTTCTTGATATTCTAACCACATAGGAAATGTAAAAATAACAGCACACTTACAGCTTTGTAGGTCTTCTTCTGACCAGCATGTTTTGGTGCTTTGCTGGGGTCCGTGCTGATCTCCACATGCATGGCATAGATGATGTTGAAGAAATCCTCCACCACTGCCACACGCTTCAGGGACGTGTCCACCCCTGATACACTGTCCACACACTGGAAACAAAGCCAGAGACTCAGTGAATTTGTGGCCCGTTTTGTTTGCATTTGTTTTGCATTTTACCAAACATTTGCAGCACAGACAAACAAGACACATGCAGTCAAATCAGGAACGTTGCAATAACATGGTATGCGGCTCGCTTAGCTGCACCCTACACCTGTACAGCTAAATATGAGGAGGGTCGGTGGGATATGAGGTGGCATCCATCCCCAGTTTCTATCTTTATTCATTGCTTTAGTAATAATAATACATTTGATTAAGCACAGGACACACTGTATTTACATACACTACACAAGAAAAAAAATTACATTCTGAAGAAGCTTGTCTAAAAATACGTCCTATAAAATCTTTAAATAAAATAAACAAAAAAGCTAACAACAATAAAACTCATTAAAACAACAGAAATGAACAAACAGCACAAGTGTTCCATAAACTCAAGTGGAATCTCTTCATCATGATTCACAGAGCTTCACTTTCTGCTGTAAAATCTATGAGCCTGCCTGAGGATTCCTGACTCACTGCCACAAGCAGCACATGACATCAAGGACTTTCATTTCAAATAAGTGCCCTGTTACAGACTCCTGTCCATCTGACTACAACTGAAAGCACGACTACGGATTTCTGTTTGACTCATCTGCAGAAATAATTGTACACCAACCCAAGTTCAAATAGTTGCCAGTGAACTTTTATTTAACAAAACTTTCCCCAGATGCATTTAAATAAGACCTTTAAAGGAAAGATAGTATGTATTAATTTAGTGTCTTGGAAGGTTATAAGGCAAATCACATTAAAGCTGGAGAATTACAGATACGTATTTATACCACATTATTCTGCTGCATCACGTGCTTATCATTAGTCTTTATGATAACAGGAATGTGATGCTGCAGTTTTCGGTTTCTTAACCCTTTCTTACAGACTGAAGACTGCAACATTTCTGGCATCAGTGGGAACATCGGCTCTGCCATATAGAACAAATCTACACAGACTTTTTTCTAGTGAAAAAGAAAGATCCCCCCCATACAAAGACGAGAGTCTGTCACAGGCGACACTGATGAGGGATTTTGAAAGTTATTTTGAATTCACTTCTGAGTGTTTATCACAGCTTGAATACCGCTCATGAGCCACAGTGGGAGGAGGCTTGTCTACACTTCAGAAATCATAGCAAAAGTTGTCAAAGCACCCTGAATTGTCCAGACATTATATTCTCACTTTCCATACTTTACAGGTACATTAATTTTCACTGTTGTCAAACATAAATGCAACATGTCTTAAAGAACCTTTACATAAATATCTTGTCTTACTTTGGTTGCTATCGAGTTCAGAAGTGTAAGGAAATGTTTCACTGTTATCACCATGCCAATTCTCTCTAATATTCAGTGGTGTAAAACAGATTTGGGATAGATAAATATCCGTAAAGGGATGGGCTGCACCTGCTGTATGTTAATCAAGCTTCCCACAGGACAGAGTACTCACTCTCTCTCTTGGTCACTCAGACACACACACACACACACACCCCACACAGACACAAACCGTTCTGGGAATACTAGGAAGTCTTGGGAACCTCCCTTTTTCCCCAGAAGGATGTGAGGGTGTGATGCGGACCTGTGGGGAGCAAAGGAGGGCTCAGCAGGGTTGGAAAGGTGAGTCTGAGTGGTTTTAGACAAAGAACCATGAAAGAGCGATGGAGACATAGAGGAGATAGAATGAAGGAAGAGCTACCTGCTCAGAGAACTTAACATGCTAACAGGTGGTGCAAAACATACGCACACACATGCACGGGTCCTCCCTAGCTGCAAACTTGCAGTGCATGGTGAAGTCTGTTAATGCCATGGTAACCAGAGAGCTGACCTTTGCATGCAAGTGTGTGTGTGTGTGTGTGTGTGTGTGTGTGTGTTTCTATTAGTGTGTTGTGGAGAGTACATTTGAGTATGTGCAGACACTGTATTTTCTGCAATATCTTGTGTGTGTGTGTGTGTGTGTGTGTGTGTGTGTGTGTGTGTGTGAGAGAGAGAGAAAAGGAAGGTTTCTAACTGTGTCACTAGTAAATAGTGTGAGGCTTGGGGGAAGTGCTGGCTAGTCAGTCACACACAGACCAGAGATCATGAGCACTCACAGGAAACAGAATTTGTAGTAGAAATAGAAGAAAAACCATCATGTATAGTCATCCTGTTTGATTTCTCTGTTTGAAAACAACATTATTTTGGTGTCGTTTTATGCAGACTAATAGAATATACAGGGTGTGTAGTGAAATTCTTCTTCTTCTTTCGGCTGTTCCTGTTAGGGGTCGCCACAACGAATCATCTGTTTCCACCTAACTCTATCATCGGCATCCTCTACTCTCACCCCAATTAACTTCATGTCCTCTTTTAGCACATCCATATATCTCCTCTTTGGCCTTCCTCTTGACCTCTTGACCTCTTGCCTGGCAGCTCCATCTCCAACATCCTTCTACCAATATAACCACTATCCCTCCTCTGCACATGTCCAACCCATCTCAATCTGGCCTCTCTGACCTTGTCCCCAAAACAGCCGACCTGAGCTGTCCTTCTGATGTGCTCATTCCTAATCCTGTCCATCCTGGTCCCTCCTAAACAGAACCTCAACATCCTCATCTCTGCTACCTCCATCTCTGCCTCTTGTCTTTTCCTCACTGCTACAGTCTCTAGCCCATACAGCATAGCTGGTCTCACTACTGTCTTGTACACCTTTCCTTTGATTCTCACTGCCACTCTTCTGTCACACAACACTCCTGACACCTTTCTCCACCCACTCCAACCTGCCTGCACTCGCCTCTTCAACTCTTTCCTACACTCCCCATCACGCTGGACTGTTGACCCCAAATACTTAAACTCCTGCACCTTCTTGACCTCAGCCCCCTGTAACCTCACTGTTCCACTTCCCTCCCTCTCGTTCATACACATGTATTCTGTCTTGTTAGTGAAATTATTAGATCATTATTGCCCAATTGCATACAATCGTGTTAAGCAGTTGATCCAAATATATGGTAATTCTGTAGGCCCTAGATTGTGGTCTAGCTTAGATTTCAGAAGACCAAATGGAAACTGATCAGATCACAACTTTTTTTTTCTTTTTTCTTGACAAACACTCCAAAGCCTGAACATATTCAGTTTATTTTCACACAAGACCAGGAAAACCTGCAAAAACACTGAAAGCTGAGAAGATGGTTAACTGACTTTGTATTGTTATTTATTTATTGCTATTTTGTGTAATCCAACAACTGAACACACTTGTGATATTGTTTCTACAACTGACATCAAATATTGTCTGGATAGATACAGTAGCACTGTTGTAGAAGTTCCCACAGATGTGTTGCACTGGTAGGTTGCTTTGCCTTCACTCTTGGTCTGACACATACAGTATGGACACTGCACTGCCGCTCCATCATTTGAAGCCTACTGTTATTTTATCTATCCAGACAATATTGACTTGGGCTCATTGGCTCATTATAATAAAAAGAATATTTTAAATTTAGGTATTAAGATGGATCCCGATTTAAGATTTGACAGCCAAATTGCAGCTGTCATTAAATCTAGTTTCTTTCAACTAAGACAGTTGGCTAAAGTAAAAGCATTTGTCTCTAGACAGCATTTCAAGATGCTTATTCATGCTTTTATCACTTCCCGTTTGGACTATTGTAACTCGTTGTATCTTGGGGTCGGTGAGTCTTCTATCACTCGCCTCCAGATGGTCCAAAATGCAGCAGCGCGTCTTTTAACAGGTACAAGGAAATATGAGCATATCTCTCCAGTTTTGGCCTCCTTACATTGGTTACCTGTCCATTTTCGGGTCCATTACAAAATTTTACTCTTTGTTTTTAAATCCCTTCATGGCTCTGCACCATCCTACTTATCTGATTTGCTTCATTGGCATACACCCACACGCTCTCTGAGGTCAGCAAATCAGTTTCTCTTGAGTGTCCCAAGAACAAAGCGTAAGCTTAGAGGCGATCGAGCCTTCGCAGTTGCTGGTCCTAAACTCTGGAATGATTTACCGCTGTCCATTAGACAAGCCTCTACCCTGTCTGTTTTTAAGTCTCTTTTAAAAACTGATTTATTTTCCCTGGCATTTTGATATTTTTGTGTTGATTTTAGTCTTTTTTTCTTTTATATTGATTATATTTTATATTGTTGTTTGTGGTTTATAAATTTATACTGTTTTATTGTCATGTACAGCACTTTGGTCCACTCTGGTTGTTTTTAGTGATTTATAAATAAAGTTGGTATGGTATGGTATTTTCTTCTACACAGACTCAAGGTGTTTTTTGACTCATTGTCCTGCTGTAGGATGAAGGAATTTGTTCTTGTACATAATCAACAAAAGTAGCGACCCTGTTTGCATTAGCTTTCATGGCTTCATTTAAGGTAATTGGAGTTGAACTGCTTATATGTCAATAAAAACCGGAAAAAGGACTGTTCTAAAACATTTGACCAGTGGTGTAAACTGACTTTTTTAATGTAGTCTGTCTGTTTTTAATTACACATAAGAGCAAATACCTCCACATAATCTTGTAACATGATGTCATTTTATCTCACTTATCATTTAAGTGACATTGTATAGGGGTGTACTCAGATTTATGGTATGCTGTATGCGTGTATGTGTCTTCTCATTATTCAAAAGCACTGTTCCCAGGGCCTTTATCAGATATAGAGCATCTAATGAAGAGTGCGTGAACTAAAGCCTTTTCACACACACATACACTTGCACTCTTGCACATCCACACATCCAGGACACTATCTCTTGACCCACTACCTCTCTGTCTCTTTCACTATCTCCACCCCCTGTCTCAGGATGAAGGTAATAAGCGTTGCTGTGGTAACCAGCTCCAGCTTATCGCAGAGGGGATTTTGCTAATATGCCCCCATCCACCTCCCCCCACCCATACCCAATGCCATTACAACTGCCAGGCAGAGAAGTGGGGGGTGTGACAAAGAAAGACAGTAGGGTGGTTACTGGCTGTTACTACTAATGGTAGGAG